TAACGTACTATAAAATATAACTTTACTTGTGGGCATAAACCCTGGGTGTTTCCGCTTAGCTCGGGGCCAGGCTTAATTTCCACTGTTGCGTTTTTCAGTCATACCTACGTATACGCACGTAAAACTTTAAATCAGTTTAAATGTTACTTATAAAATAACCAAATAAATAAAGCAACAGAATTTACTGCTCCACAAGTTTTAGTATGAATTTGTTTAACTTATTTGTAAAATATTTAAAAATTAGAAGGATTCAAAGTTTTGCGTGCGTGTACGTGCGTACGAAAAACGCAACAGCGGAAATCAGCCTTTAGATCTTAACAGTAATGTGCGTCAGTTGCAGTATAGCCCCAGCGAGTTAACGCTCCATAGAGCGTCTTGTTTAATAAAGAATGTGAAATAATAATTCAATCTTGTGCAAAATTTGATACCAACACACATGTAAACAGATATTATCACCTAAAAATAAAAGAAAACAGAACTTAAATTTATCATCTATTGTTATGAAAAAAATCTTAGATACTACAGGCATATAGTGAGCACAATTCTTTGACAAACTCACTAAAATAAGTTCAGTTATGCTATGATAAGAGGGTGGCAATATATGACAACATCAAATGTCACCATATTCAGTGTCCAAAAAAAGTGGCGCGCGCATTTTTCATGGTCGCATAACTGGTTTATATCCTCGGTTCAGTGCATGCTATGGGGACAGAAATACCACCATTCGATTCAGAAATAAAAGATTCAACTAATTCCTCCCTATAGTTATAGTCATTATCAACATTGTAGCGATTTATGGGCCTTTGAAGTCAAACAATATAATATTGTATCAAATTACGCAATTGTCTGAACAAAAATATAGACTATTCATACCTTTCGCCGAAAATAACTTCGGCCCCTTCGAACATATCGTCTTTGTAATAGTCTTGTTCGAATTCCCATTAAATAGTGTTTTTGGAGTGTTATTTGCAACCCTGAATCTACAAATCTGTATCTTTGATCAATATATTTCCATTTCTTGTCCGACTGTGAGCTCGAAGTGAATAATCCCAACCGGAAATACGTCTTAAAACCGTCAAAACAATGCGACGTTTGTATCGTATGACCCTGCAAAGGCCAGAAATGGATTCGCAAGGTCAAATTGCACCTACACGCGTGAGTTTGACGTCATCCCGGCCAAAGGAGCTTCTTATTGGCCAATTATTGCGCAATGTACGCAAGTGCGAGTAAAACCCGATATCTTGAAAAATTCAAAATAAATATTTCTAGTCGGCGTATACATACGAAACTTTCTACACGAAAGCGCTTGAATACAAAGAGTATTTTACACATATAGCCGTTCAGCAAATGTCGAAAAGTTCAAGGGATATTCAAGATCTTGTGGATATGAAATTTAGAATCTTTGGCCAAGCGGTGAGTAAATATATGATTGTTTCAGTTTGTGTAATGTTCTGACGCACTTGACCCCCCGTTCGAAAGGTTATTTTATGAGGATTACAATGGTGACTTTTATTTAAAAGGGGGGTAAATACTCGCCGAGATATTTATTTTTGAAACATTGTGTTGTAATATGATGCGAATAGCTTGTGATAGGAAAGAGTTTTAATACAACTTTCTAAGTTTTTCCAGGTAAACAGATTCAACATTGAAATAAGCCCCATTCGGAACCTCATAGAAACCAAAATATTGTGTATGGACCAGATTTTTTTCAATTTTCTGTGATTTACATGACACTAGTTATAATTTAAGGGTCAACCAGTATTGTTCAAGACTGAAGCTAACACATATAACGGTCATGCAGACTAAAGTGGTAATTAATTAAGTAGGCACTGAAAACCTGCCTTTTTAGAACGGCTTTCGAGCACAGCACTATTACTTTTTAGTAGGTAGTAAACTATAATTTTAGATGTAAATAACTTAACTGTACGTATAGGTTTTTAAACTTCATGTAATGCGCATGTGAACAAATCTCTATGTTAACATGCGCAATATAAATATAATCATGTTAAATGTTAAGACATATTTTCCTTCCAGAACACCTTTTTCAAAATACTAACCCAAACATGTCCAAAATAGTGCACATTTACAGGGGCAATTTCAACCCTTTGGCACATTTTTTCCATGAATGATTTTAATTCTAATAAAAAGACTACAGATAAAGCTTTGATTTAAAGCTAGTTCCAAGTGATGAGCACACCCTAATTTTTAAGCTAAACCTCAAGGAAGATATGTCATTTCAACATAAACATTGAAATATGGGTATACTGACAGCTCTGTCACACTTGTAGTTTGGCATTAACAGCCCTTCTGAAACATTTTAATGAAAATATAATTCACAAAATTCGCATTTTCACTTAATTCTTAACATCTGTTTTAATCCAACTAGCTCTGTAGGCACGAGCAAAATCTAGTGTTGATGTAAATATCCATTTAGTTCATGTTTCCCAGGTGAAAATACAGTCTATTCCAAAGCTGGATTTCGACATACTTTAGCTTTTCAGAAACCGTTGGCCTTCCTCAGTAAGATTATCAACTGTTTCATAAACATATTTGATAGTAAACAGCTAAAATATTCTCTGAAAGTCTGTATTTTTCACTCTTCGACGCGAAAATGGCAACTCGAGAAGAAATGAGCCGCTATTTTTGGTCAGCGTCGACAAATTGCCCACCTGTTGTCCGCACTCGGAAGCGACAAAAAAGCCGCATCTCGGTTTCAATTTCCGCAGCATGAGCTCCACCCACTGAGCTATACTATATTACTGGAGGACGTGCTCGGGATAAAAAAGTGAAGCCAAAAACATGGCGGATTTTCACGCCATTTCCATGGCAACTGGTTCCTTTGGCCATGAAAATACCACTGACCAGGCTCATTTCTGAGCCCACTACAGTTTTCACCCCCCCCCCCTGGTTTTTTCAAAAGTATTCATAGGTTTTTCGAGTTTTTGCAGTGAATTCTCGTTGTTTTTGATATTTTTACAAATTTTTCGACATGTGACCATCTGTTCAAAGAAATACAAGTTGTAAACATCCGGGAAAGACAACAAACGCCTTGCAAAATGTTTGCAAACACGATATTTGAAGCAAGATCTAGAGGCGCAGCTAAATACAGTACAGCCAGGTAAAAATACTATTGAAAAACAATATAATATGCATTTATTTTTTAGCATGAGAAGCTTTGTACAATATAGTGAATATTTTAGCCACGATTATTTAAGTCTTGTACAAATGTAGAGATATTTCACCACACTTCCTCCCACAAACCGACAAACGCAAAGGGTTCAAATTTAACATGCTTGAATTTCATACTATTCAGATTTGCTGAGTATAAACTTTTATTTGTATCAAAAGAAGAGTATAAATTGAGTATAAACTTTTATTTATCTGGCAGATTTGCTGAGTATAAACTTTTATTTACAGGTGTGAAGACATGCATGAAACTACTATGTGCTACTATCTTTAAAAGAGGAAATTTTAAAAACAAGACAGGAAGGAGTTTGTCCAGGAAAACTTGCTTAAAACTACAATGTCAATGTAGAAATGAAAAAACTGCTGTAACTAGTAATACTCGCAGTTTTAATATAGCATCAGGTTTTGACATATATCCACGAGTATTTATAAAATATATGGCAACGTTGCCAAGGGAGAAAGTAAACAAATCGTGAATCTTACCGGTAATATTCTCCTTTTAAAGCCATAACAGGCACAGCAAAAATGCACCGTTTTCCTTGACTTTGTAAAACAGACAAAATTGATTAAAAATATCAAGATTTTCAGTTCAAAGACAAACTATAAAACCAAAATATTTTATATTTGTGAAAAAAACCAGGGCAGGGGGGTGAAAGATATTGTTTAAAGCGTAGGATCGCGGTTGGTCAGTGGTAATTACCATGAGAAATAAGAACCAGTAGTCATGGCAATGGCGTAATATCCGCCATGTTTTTGGCTTCCGCTTGCTTGACTGAAGAAAGATAGGAGCAGCTCCTCCAGTAATATTATAGCTCAGTGGCTCCACCTTTGAATTTGCACCCGTTCCGCACGTTGTAACCAGGGCGAAGGGAGAGAGGGCGTGGAAACGTCAATACATCGAGCGTCCCCATCCGTGATGCGGGCTTCGCGGGGGGTAAGACGTTCTAATTGTAAACAAATATGGCTACGCGTATATGACCCATCACAAGGTATGCTGAAACTATTGCTTTATAAAATATTACTTGTGTAAAATTTATATGTTTTTGTTACTTTTAGCTATAATAAGAAACTTAAAGATAAGATTTAAGTAACGAAAAACTTTATTTCGAGTTGTTTAGAAGAGATATGACTTTTACACGCAAAACGCGGGACACGCGCGCAGACAATCAGTGGATTATTGAGATCAGTGTACTATAAAAAAGAAGCCAAGTAAACAGTAAACTCGTGTAGGGATTTCGTATTAAAGTTTATTTTCACTGTTTTTGTACTAAATCGAGTACTTTTCGAGGCTAAATATCGTTACATCGCAACATTTGGCGATCCTGTCAGGACAGTTCGAGGAATTTGGGGTTTTTAAAGTGAATTTCGTGGTTAAAATCGGGGAAAATTTCACAACATCGTGCTCGAGGACTGTTGGCGTATTTACAGCGTTTAGTCGTAGTTGTATCGGTATTGGAACAATATTCGGGGACGTTTTATAAATTTATGGTAAACTCGGCTTTGTTTTAAACTTTATTGGGTGTTTCTACGATATAATTACATCGAATTATAGCAAATTTACGAGGTATTTGGAATTAGACGGCAGTTTAAAGTATTAAATATATCGTGACACGTACTTGATGGTTGGGGATAGCCAGGAAAGCAGGGGATAAACAGTAATTTTAATGGACGCGTGAGTACAAACTAAAGTTATTGATTCTGATTTCTTGATATATTTGTGGAACTTTATGGTGAAGTTATTAATTTCTTAAATATAACTTTGGAACAAAAATAAAGCTAAAATAGTAAACAAAGCTTATTTGCTAAGGGACATAATGCCGTTAACTAATGAGACAGATGAACCAAGGGTATCCAAGAATGATCTTGAACTGGAAGAAAAAGTGCTTGCATTAAAGCGAGAAAAACGAGCAAGAAAAACAAATGTGACAAAAATTAGACATAACTTAGAAAAATTGTGTGCTCAGAAGAGTAAATTAAATCGTGATGAAATCGAAGCTGAAATTGAGGCTTTGTGGGATGCATTGGAAACGTGCTTATCTGTGATGGATGAATTGTGTTCGACTTATATTAAATCTAACCAAGCTGAAGCTAAGGAAGCTATTCTAAAAGAACAGGAAAACTTTGTATCAGATGGACACCAGACTGTGGAGAAAGCACAACAAGTAATCAAAGAATACTTATCAAGTATTTCTGAACAAGGACATGTATCAGAAGTAGTCAATGTAAGCCCGGCGCCCACAGCTGAAGCAAGCCTACCTAGTTCCGAAAGCAATCCAACTGGAACAACCACAGTCAATGATAGTCCAGCACCTGTTGTGGACACAGAAGGCCCACCGAGTTTAGCAAGCAATCCCACTACCAGTACAATCACAGCTAATGTTAGTCCGGACCCTAGAACAACCCAAGCAAGCCCTCCGAGTTTTGCAAGCAATTTCACTGGTATAACCCATCATCGTCTTAAACCACTAACAGTTCCAGTCTATTATGGTGATAAAACTAGATTTGAGGATTTTTGGGCATTATTCATCAGCCTAGTTGATGAAGGGAGTGAGCCTGTAAATATTAAAATGGCTCGACTACGTCAAAGTCTTTCCGGAAATGCCCTTGATGCAATTCGTGGACTGGGTGTTACGGCGCCAGAGTATAATGAGGCTAAGGACATATTAAAATCTAAGTTTGGTGGACAACGTCGTCAGTTGCAAGCTTACCTTGATCAGTTAGAGAATATGCCAACTCTGAAGAACAATAATATTCAGTCTTTCGAAAAGTTTGCTGATCTTGTGCGGGTAACCGTAGTGAAGTTGGAAGCTGAGGGGCGCAGTGGGGAACTGGGAGATGGTGCATTGCATAGCCTGCTGGTAAAGAAACTATCGGAACGACAAGTAGAAAATTACAGTCGATGGCTTAGTGAACAACATAAGATACGGTCAGTGAAAGCGTTGAGAGAGACTGGCTAAAGGAAGAAGTAATCATCCGAGTTGAGGCTACAGAAATGGCCCAAGGAATTGAACCTAAGCAGACTAGAGAGTATGACAGAGGAAGGTCCAAGCCAACTGAAAGAGGTTATCGACCTCGAACCTGGTTCACAAATCGAGATGGAAAACACAGCAACAACGACGATACACGCAGCCTGTATTCAAAGCCACCTTGCGCAGTATGTGGTGGCAATCATGGGGTTTGGTCCTATAAATTATTTTCTGGCTTGAGTGTGCCAGATCGTTGGGGAGTCGCAAAGGAAAAACATTTATGTTTTCGATGTCTTGCAAGTAATCATGTCGGTAAGGACTGCACCAGGTCAAAGCCATGCGCAGTGCAAGGGTGCAAAAGAAGCCATCACAACTTGTTGCATGTAGTTGTACCGAAGGAGAAGGAAGAAGGCGCGGAGTCACCGTTGACACGGGAGGGGGCAGAGACACGGACACACACTTCAAGAAATAAGAGTGTGTCAACTGCTGAAGTTTTGTCGCTTCGTACCATTCCAGGATGGTTAAAAGCAAATGGTCGGAAAGTTAAAGTCAACGCTATTCTGGATGATGCTTCCAATGAAACATTTCTAAATGAACAAGTTGCTGGAGTGTTAGGGCTACAAGAGCCGTACAAGACAGTTAAATTTCATGTGTTGAACAATGAGGTTGAAACAGCAAGTTTATACATGCCCATAGCATTATAAACTTAAGTTAATGAAACAAGCGTTAGGACAAGAGTAAAGTTGTGCAAAGTCTCCTGGAGTACAAAGGTCTGGTACAAAGGTCAATCTGTGAATCATGTGATCATACACGTGCAAAGCGCAAGGCTGAATTAACAACAAATTATTGTCAAATCTCTTCCCATGCATGTGCAGGAAAATAGACCAATCAGGTTTCACCTCTTCGTCTGAATAGTTTCCTGCTTGGATCAGTAAGCCTCATTGTGTCACTTGCAAGCAAAATTGTATGACCTCTGCGGCAAAGTACTTCGAAATTATACTTTTGGAAAAGATATATCGTGGATATAAAACAACGGTCAGTAACACAGTATTATTCAGTGATACGCAGTTTATTCAAATATAGCTCTGCTGCGGGCAAGCACTTTTACTCTTCTGGTGGACAAAGGAATACGTTGGCTCAAGTATTGACGTATATGAAATTCAGTGAGACGCAGTTTATCAGTAAAATATAACTCTGCCGCGGGCAACCGTTTTTACTCTTTTGGTGGACAAAGGAATACCTTGGCTGATGTATTGATGTATGATTCAGAGAGACGATGTTTATTCAAATATAACTCGGCAGGCGCTTTTACTCTTCTGGTGGACAAAGGAATACGTTGGCTCAAGTATCGATGTGTGATTCAGTGAGACGCAGTCTATTCAAGTATAACTCTACCGTGGTCAAGCGCTTTTACCCTCCTGGTGGACAAAGGAATACGTTGGCTCAACCGATGAAGTTAAATGAAACCGCCGCTGGGGGAATTATAACAAGATCGAGAGGCTAAACACGAATTCAACAAGCGTCATTTGATATCATTCGTATATCAATGTATTTATGTATGCACATGCATTTGGTGCGTAAGTATGCGGTGAATTCACACGTTTGCTTCGTATTTCGCTTTTCAAACCAATCAAAATGCTTTAACTTCATTTATTTTATCACAGAATTCGGGTATAGTAATTGTCGAACGCCAAATGTATCGACCATTCACGCTAATCGATCTGTATTTCAATGTCAATTTTATTACCATCTTGAGGTTATTAACCGGCCAGATTGGGCCTCTGATTCGGGAATTGGGTTTCAATAAAGTGTCACATTAAACTGTATTCAATCATTCAAAAGTAGATTATATAAAACTTCCTTTCTAGCTATTTCAAGGCACTCTTTAATAAAACAAACACTTAATTATTTGGCCCGTATACATTATCAATACTTTACTGGGCACAACATAGGAAATCAAGTTCATGTGTGAGAGAAATTTTAGTCTGCTCGCATATCCTTCCACCACGGGGGGGATTAGGGACAGTCTGTGCGCAGACTAGAGAAATTTAGGATCTACTTTATCTACATTTGTGATAAATCGGCAAGTTGGATGTCATGAAAGATTGATATATACGTACAGTGTATGGTATGTCGCTACTCATGAAAATTCATTTTAGTGTCTTATCACTATACTGCATGATCTTTAGTCTACCAAATACATATTCTTACAATTTCTGCTATCTCATGCATGCATGATTGCATGTTCAATCACAAAACTGTGGTTTAATATAAACACCTGAATTGCATTTTGAATTTTTGATCCTGCTATTTTAAAATATTGAACAAGCTATTTTTCTGAGATTAAAGAGTCACATACATAATTCGAGAATTATATTGTGTCAAGTTCCACCAATCATAATTCAAATAAAATAAGTGGAGTTAACAAATACATGTTGCAAAATTGTCAACGAGCACATTGACATTAAAAATAAATAAATCGTAAAAAAAAAAAAAAAAAAATGATGGTGAGCTTTGTTTGTCGTGATACCAACCCTCCAATCACGCACTTGTAAGATAGAAGCTTTGTGGGGAAGCTGCTGGTTGTCTTGGCCCCATCCAGGTTCCCTGTAAAGATATTGCAGGTTTTTCCTGGCCTCCCTGATGTTCCAGCTGTAGTATGAGTGATGGTAATACTCAAATATATGTCTTACGATCAAATGTGTAGTTTTAAAGAAAAAATTGCATATAACATGATTTTAATCAATTAATTATTTAAAGTGTGTCGAAAGAGAAATATAGACGATATGTCTTCGAAAAGCACAAAGATCATCTGTCAGAAGCTGTCTTCTATACGATTACAGTTGTGGTGGGAGTTGGGTTTTTTCGTCTATGGGGAATACACATGCTGTGTATTTGTGGGGATGGAGTGCTCCCAAAGGTCACCCTCAACCCCATAGACTCACACAAATCAATGTATTATACAGTGTATTGTATAGTAAACAATGACCATCACGGGGATCTACTACCCCTTGGACATTAAAGTAAACAATGACCATCACGGGGATCTACTACCCCTTGGACATTAAAGTAAGCAATGACCATCACGGGGATCTACTACCCCTTGGACATTTAGGATGCCCATCTCGGGGATCTACTACCCCTTGGGTAAAGTCCAACATGGGGGAACTACGACCCCCTGAGGACATATAATTATATCATAATCATATTGCTGTAATAGTGAGTCTGTGGGGCGACACTTTGGCCACAGTTTAAAGTATAATCGGAGCATTTCTCCTCGACAACCCTTCTCCCACAACATTGTGTGTGTCATAGTTGTTTTCTTAATTGTCTTAGAATATTTGCTTAACGAATTGGTGCATTAAAGCAAGTTTATACATGCCCATAGCATTATAAACTTAAGTTAATGAAACAAGCGTTAGGACAAGAGTAAAGTTGTGCAAAGTCTCCTGGAGTACAAAGGTCTGGTACAAAGGTCAATCTGTGAATCATGTGATCATACACGTGCAAAGCGCAAGGCTGAATTAACAACAAACCATTGTCAAATCTCTTCCCATGCATGTGCGGGAAAATAGACCAATCAGGTTTCACCTCTTCGTCTGAATAGTTTCCTGCTTGGATCAGTAAGCCTCATTGTGTCACTTGCAAGCAAATTTGTATGACCTCTGCGGCAAAGTACTTCGAAATTACCACCCATCCCACCCTTCAAGGATTTTGCACCACTATATCATAACCCGTATCACATAATAAATAAGAATCTGTAAATATTGTTTTGATATGCAATCCGGCATCAAGATTCACATGAAATGCAATTCATGTAGTGTTATAGATAAAGTATTATGGAGTAGTTACTGGTTACTATGTTATTACAGGCACATATATATATGTTGTAATATACAGTATTGGAATTGACTTTGCAAGTCTGGTTGTAAAAATAAAAATATTTGGTTGTTTGGGGATGGAGTGCTCCCAAAGGTCACCCTCAACCCCATAGACTCACACAAATCAATGTATTATACAGTGTATTGTATAGTAAACAATGACCATCACGGGGATTTACTACCCCTTGGACATTAAAGTAAACAATGACCATCACGGGGATCTACTACCCCTTGGACATTAAAGTAAGCAATGACCATCACGGGGATCTACTACCCCTTGGACATTTAGGATGCCCATCTCGGGGATCTACTACCCCTTGGGTAAAGTCCAACATGGGGGAACTACGACCCCTTGAGGACATATAATTATATCATAATCATATTGCTGTAATAGTGAGTCTGTGGGGCGACACTTTGGCCACAGTTTAAAGTATAATCGGAGCATTTCTCCTCGACAACCCTTCTCCCACAACATTGTGTGTGTCATAGTTGTTTTCTTAATTGTCTTAGAATATTTGCTTAACGAATTGGTGCATTAATCAACAAAATAGTAATCAGGCGATCGATATGCGCTGTTTATCTCCACCCGATCCGCCAGTTGTTGCTCAGATACCCACTATCTTGTCCAGATTGAAAATATCACAAGATATCAACATTTCTCAACATTTTGAGATCAACATTTCTAACCCTACCCTGAGGTCCAGTCCACTCCACGGTGCAGTACAGGGGCTGTGGACATGCAGACCATAGATATAGGAGATCTAGATTGCTAACGCGTACCTAGCGCAGGCGGGGCCTACATGATAAATCCAAGATGGCCGTACAACAGGGCAAAAAGACTATAAATTCTATTATGAAAATCAGGATTTTTGCATTTTTTGCCGTCGCATTGTTTCGAAACTTATTTGGTCAAATTTTATGGTAAAGAGAAACTTACCGCGAAGATTTTGAGCATATATATGATTGAATTGGATAAAAACTCGCAAAATTATCCATCGATAAAAGTTCGTGTTTAGTACTAATATAGTACAATATATGTAACTTGTACAGTTTAGCTTTAATTTTTGCTCACTAGTTGCATAAAAAGCAAATTATAACAGACCATAGATGATAGACCCTCATCCAGTGCTCTCATCAGTTTACTTCTCTAACAAGCAAGGAGGGGGGGGGGGGTACATAACAGTTCATTTTTCATAATTATGAGGACAGAGCAGATGATGATGAGAGATGCAAGTATAAAACACCATTCACAAGGCTAGATGTTAACATAGCACAGTATTTCTGGCAATAAAACGCTCCAACTGACCAACTGACCATTTCACACGAACTTTTATCGCTGGATAATTTTGCGATTTTTTATCCAATTCAATCATATATATGCTCAAAATCTTCGCGGTAAGTTTCTCTTTACCATAAAATTTGACCGAATAAGTTTCAAAACAATGCGACGGCAAAAAATGCAAAAATCCTGATTTTCGTAATAGAATCTATAGTCTTTTTGCCCTGTTGTACCGCCATCTTGGATTTATCATGTAGGCCCCGCCTGCGCTAGGTATGCGTTAGCAATCTAGATCTCCTATATCTATATATCTATGGGACAGACGGGCTAGGGGAGGGGACTAATTCAATTCCACATCCCCACACCCCAGAGTTTAATTGCACCCCCACAAAACCAAACGAGTCTTCCACAGCCAGAAGTCTAGTGAACACAAACAAAACTCCTGATACATCATTATCCGCATTACCATTTCCTGTGCAATATCACAAAGACTAATATTCGCCAAATTTTCCACCAGAACATGAAGATCAACATCATCAATCACCTTCTCGATATCAATGAAAGCTGAAGCACAAAATAATACTTTCAGTTGCATCTGAATTCAGAATATTTCCAAACATTGTATAAGCTGGATACTCGAGATCTCACATCATTTGAGGGATTTCGTGGGCTGAACTTTTTTATGTGAAAATTTTTGATCAGTCTCAATTGAGCATGATGCATGCATGGGTGTTCTTTTGGTAAATATATACAAAGCTAAACATGAAATAGTTAAGACCAACACTGTACAGTCGTACTGAAATGCTGCAAGTATTGTTTAACCTAACCACTGCATGCATATGGTAAAAACAAATTCGTTAAACGAACCAACAAATTGCTTGTATCAGGTTCATTTTGAATCTTAACTAATTTACTGGTTGTTTCAGTCAGTTTGGTTTTACAGGCACACCTATAATTTCGAGGGCGCCATGTTTATAACTCTGATTTATAGTTTCATCAATGTTATTTTGTGCCTACCGTACATACCTAATTGTCGCCAGTCGATTTTGCGGTTCAGAGGAGAGAATACAAATTGCATTTTAAAGTTGTAGTCCTGTAAACCGAGGATAGTTTACAGGGATTTCACGATATTCAAGTTTTCATTTGGACGATGAGTGCTTTCAAAACAAATGGTCCTTCATACAAATAGGCCCTATTCAGTTGGCTTAGGCAGCGTTTACACTGTACCGTTTTCGTAGCGTTCTCGTATTGTTCTTAATCCTCAAGGGAACGCAAGACAATAGTCTAGTTCTCTCGAACAATACGAGAACGCTACGAAAACGGTACAGTGTAAACGCTGCCTTAGAAACACTTTGCATTAAGAAATATGCTGTGTTTTGCCTTCGTCCTACTCATGAGTGTAGGTACCGAAATACTGTACAGGGTGTCTCAAAAAACCCGCTACCCTTGGAAATTTACCATTGTTCTAATTTGAATGCCTGAGTGCTATCTTGGGCAGCGTTTACACTGTACCGTTTTCGTAGCGTTCTCGTATTGTTCGAGAGAACTAGACTATTGTCTTGCGTTCCCTTGAGGATTAAGAACAATATGAGAACGCTACGAAAACGGTACAGTGTAAACGCTGCCTTGAACTCATGGGTGCATGAACAATTATTTAAGACAATAAATACTCTTTGCTCTGTGCTCAGTTGAGCCATTTGCTTGACATTCACTAATATGTAATTGAACGATTTTCGTGCAGTTATACTTTTGTATGAATCTATTTTCAATTCCCAGGATAAAAAATTTCGCTTTTCAAGGATATTTTAATTCCGAAGATCTTTAATATATGCATCCTGTGAAAATTTTACGCATTCAGGGCTTCAACAAGGTTCAGGCATTCAAATTAGAACAATGGTGAATTTCTAAGGGTAGTGGTTTTTTTGAAAAAGTCTATTGAAGTTAATCCGTTTCATGATGCATTCATGGACCGCCATTGTTCGTGATCTTTGAAGGAGAAAATAATTTCAGGTAAACAAGGGCTTTTGCTCATCGTTGATCCAAGACAATGGCACCGCGCGAATGCATCGCTAACCATCAGCCACAGACAAGAACTCTAATCGCTCATTAGTTTGGTATATTTGTGTCGTTATGCTGGGTCCACGGAAGCGTTAATACCCCTAGGGTGTATAGAAAAACGAGACCTGAATAAATAACTCTATTCTTGTTAAGTACAAGATTTTCTCCTGGGATTAGCTTCTAAACTGACGGTGTGACTGATTAGTAATTTGGCCATTGTGTAGTCACTCTCCTTTTATGTTCGAACAAAAATGGTTCCACAGAGCAAAGAGCCAAAGAGTTTTTATTGTGTTAAATTATACGCTCAATTGTGTTTACACACCCGTGGGGTTGAGCAAGGCATTCATATTCCAACAAATGCTTTTGGGACACCTTGTATACAAATATGCTTTGGCTTTGCATCATGCTCTGTAGGCATTCAAATTATTGCAATAGGAAATTTTCAAAAGGTACACTTTTTTTCGTACAGGGTGTCTAAAAAAAGTGACTTTAGAAATTCACCTTATTGTTATAATTTGAATGCCTGAGTCCTATACTGAACCCATGGGAACGTAAACACAATTAGCCTTTCTCACGAAGGCCAAAACCGTCATTTTTGGGTGCTGTCTGCCCTCGTGAAAGATTCTAGACAGTTCAAACAACGTGAAAAGCGACTTCTAAAAGTTGGTAACTGTAAATTTACCATTATACTAACAACTAGACTAAGTTGTATTTCGTGGTGCGGAGACTCTCAAACGCAGGGCCGTAGGAAGATCGATAATTGGGGG